CCCCGCCAACCGGCACCCCCCCCCGGCGTGATTTTTCGCGGACCCGCCCGCCGCGCCCCTCCCGAACGGTCATGCGGCGCGCTCCCAGTGCTGCAGGCACTATCGGCCTTCTCCTCCGCTGACGGCTGCACCCCGCCTCGACGTTTGCGGTCCCTCTGGCCGAGCGCAGCTATTTCGTGCGCCGCGCCCACCTATGCGCCAGCAGAGCGGTACCGCCCTTTGTCAGTCCCGCCCCCGCGTCAAAATTCGCGGCACTGGAATCTGCCGTCCGCAGGCCTGGACCCCGCGTCAAAATTTGCGGTCCCGTGCCGCCTCTCCTGCGCGCGGGCCTGGACCCCGCCGTCCCGCTGCCCGATTTTGGCCTCCTCCGAATTTCGCTGGGCCCGCGACAGGGCATGTCGTCGGGCCCTCTCCATCCTTTAGTAAGTATATATATCGTCACAAACAGAACTGCCCGGTAAACCGTAGGCAGAGAGAGAGAAGAGGACAACAAACGAGGGGCTGTGATATATATCGTCACAAACAGATATATATATATATATATATATCGTCATATATATCGTCACAAACAGAACTGCCCGGTAAACCGTAGGCAGAGAGAGAGAAGAGGACAACAAACGAGGGGCTGTGACAAACTGTTTCGTCGGAGTTTCACCGACTCATCAGGAGGCTGATATATATCGTCAAATAGAACTGCCCGATAAACCGTAGGCAGAGAGGGAGAAGAGGACAACAAACGAGGGGCTGTGACAAACTGTTTCGTCGGAGTTTCACTGACTATATATACAGGTTGTGTCCTATGGGTTATCCGTTCAAGCCCGATAGTGAGCATATACTCGCTTGCAAAAAGTGGTAAACATGAAGTGATGAACATTGTTAACACGACAGACTAAAACACTTGGTCGGTTCGAGCGAGTGGGGACCACATTTCGGCTATTATAACGAAATAGGTCAAAGTGTTAGATTGTGACTTTGAAAAGAAGGGTTAAACTACAGGTATTCACCTTTTGCAAAGCTGGCGCCAAGACAATTTTTTATTATTTTTTTAATTTGTGCAAGGAATATGAGCGAGAGCTATAGACAGAAAACCAGATTGCAAAATCATGAAGTAGTCCAGATAGTCATGTACCAAGCAGAGAGCTCAAATGCACCAAGATACCATCCAAATAGGAGCAATACAATGAACTTGAGTGCCAATGCCGACCCTCTCTGGTCACACCAACACTGTATCCACTGTTGCTCCTACTGTCTG